CGTTTTGAATTTCTGCAAAGAATTCAGTCGAACAGCAAACGATGTTTATCTACATCTGCCGACCTTTCCTTTTTCATTATGTAAACTATAACTTAGTGGCGTACCGAGGGAAGGGAGGAAGAGGGCTTGGCACCAACTCCCCCCTCCCCCGAGAATGGGTCGCAAAAATTTTGAAAGCTACTTACATTTGTTGTAATGTGTGCATGCGACTTGTTTTACATGTAAATCATTGGAATGATTTTTAGAAGTTTTTAAAAATTCGAATAGCTAAATTGGAAAAATTTTTTGGGGGTATGCCGCCACGTTTTTTTCCTGGAATTTCTGGTATATGGGCCCGCAAAATTCTGAAAAGCGTCCTAGTCGGAGCGCGTGGTTAACCGTCGCGAACAGCCACTTTTGGTGACATTCAAGTTTCTAAGTTCGTGATTATTTAGTACTATTAAGTTGTAAAAAAAAAGTTTTCGGGCACTTCGGAAATTTTTTTTTTAAATCGTATAACTTCAAGCAGATTGAATCTTTTCCGAGGCTACAAACTTTATTGCAAAGACAATGTTATCCACAACATGTATTTGTTTTGCTGGTTTTTCAGCACCTCACTGCGGTCCACCAGCATGCGCAGAAGGGAAAAAGGTTGTCGTAAAAAGCGGCTTATTTGTGCAGGATTATTTCAGGCACGATGAAAGCTGGAAAGCTCAAATTCTGTAATTACATAGAAATCTGCTGGGGTTGTTATGGAACATAATTAAGCATTTGAGCGACCACATGCAACACCACTTGACCATTTTCTGCCCCTAAAATGCACCATTTTTCGGGTAAGTGACTTTGATCTTGGCGTTCTGCATAAGCTGGACCATAACTTTAATTACTGCAAACATTGTTGGGGCAATACCTTACACATTTTTGGACCTATCATCCAGGCGTGGCGATCCCCGCAGAAGCGACGCCAGCTGCGAAAAAAGTTACAGTCAGAGGCAAGTTCGACAGCTTGTAATTTCTGAAAGCAAATCGCAAAACTCGAGTGCAGCTGCGGGTCAGCTGCGGTCGGGTCGTTAACAGACTTCTCAATCAGATCACTCATGATTTGAAAATTTACCGAACTGCACAAAAAAATGGCCGTAGGAAGAAAAATTGTGAAATTTTTATGGTTGGAAAGATCTTTCTTCTTGTTGTGCAGGTCAAAAATATCTTGGCATAGATTAAATTCAGAAACCGTATTGGAAACTTTAAGCTTCCCTCTACTGAACAGTATTAATAACTTGGTGTCAAAGTCCAACGGAGCGCCGAAAAAATGCGTTTGAAAATGAAATTTCCGAAAGTGGCCGGGAACTTTCTTTACAATCTGATACATTGGAAAAAGGGTCGGAAACTGGCAAAATTAGCGGAGACATTTTTGGGCTAGAAACACGGAAAGCCTTGAACGCTTTCAGCTTTCTAACGAAAGAGTTTTTGGAACTTGCGTCACAGATTGGCGAGCAAAGAACAAGAACGTAACTAATGACAATATGGGTCTTTTGGCTGCAGTGGCGGTCCGAGAAATTTTTTTAGGGGGGGGAGGGCGGCAAAAATTTTTTTCTGAAGAAGGTGCGTGGCGTTAGCTACGCACTCCGAAAAAATTTTTGGGGTGCTTCTCGAAATTTTTGCGGGTCCCCGACCCCTAAAGTCTGAAAAAAGGGGGCGTGGCGTCAGCCACGCCCCCGAAAAAATTTTTTTATAAGGCTAAAATGAATTTTTAAAAATTTTTAAAAATTGTTTTAATTCTTTTCAAGTGCAAACAAGTCGTTTGCACATTCTTACAACCCATATAGGTAAGTTTCAAAAATTTCGCGACCCATTCTCGGGGGGGGGGCCCTCGGTCCGCCACTGTTTGGCTGTAATACGGATGTTTCAGTCGAAGTCAAGTAATAGCTCAAATACTGTTGAGTAGCATGCTCTAAATCGATTTGGCCATGCCTTCAACGACAATAGAAGGTCTACTCTCCACAAAAATTACTAAAGGCGAAGATTACGGCTTGGTTGTGAAAGAGTAGATCGAATTGAAACACTTTAAACAAACCAAAACTCAATATTTAGCTCTTTCAATTTTATAGCTCATGCGCTCACTTGTATGTAGTGTTGGTAAGTCAGAGATTTTGCATTTACAAGTCAACAGCAGCTGCAGATGTGCACTTAGTTTCGCTGCATTCTTTCAGAAATGATATTGATTGCATTTCACTCAAGTGTACTTTCAACAAAGCTTCAGTTTGATTTTGCCACGCTTTTCGGATTCATTCAGTCGTATTCAGGTGAATAGCATTCAAGCTATTTTGATCGCTAATTTCGACAGTTCTAATCTAAGCATAGGAGTGCACTATAGCTCTAAATCTCATTGTTTCAATAGAAAAATTAGTATCGATCTTTGTAAAACCAATCATCAATTAACCTGCACTTGATAGAAAATACTAACAAGAGAAGGATACTAACTAAGACTCGCCTTTTGAGGTGAGACACACATATATATATAATATAATAATATATATTTGGAATGAGCTTGGAACGCTGATTCCAAATATGCTATTCCCAGCTGCTTAGCCTTATTCAGCGAGTTATGATCTCTATTCTATGCAAAGTTTGCGTGCTCCTCGACCTACTGATGCTACGGTGTCGACGTCTAAGTGGTTTTGCGATTGTATCATGCCCCCTTCTAATATCGAACGAATTAATCCGATGCTCGTTCAACATCCTAGCACTTTTTTCGAGCAGGTTCTTATCTACACGCCGCCGTACGACATTCAGAAGTTTGTTGACTACTCACAACAGCAAGCCCATAACTCGCTTCGGAATAACGCTAAGCAGCTAGGAATAGCATATTTGGAATCAACGTTCAAACCTGATTCCAAATATATGTGTCCCATCCCAAAAGGCAAATCTAATTTAGTATCCTTCCCTGGTAAGTACTCATTCTAAGACAGAAACTCATAATCAAACATATGTTACAGTGCTGAAATGAGTAGAAAAGCGCGTCCATTACTTCAAAGACTAGGTACGAGAGAAATTGCATGTTTTGACTTCGCTTTTACTTTTTGGAATATTGTAGTCTCAAGAGTTTCGCTAGTCTGGACCCATATTAGGCAGACCGCTTTTTTTCGGTATTGGCGAATTAATAAAGTTAGCACATTCAGGGGACAAAATACAATACCACTCACATTTTTTGAAAAATAGACGCGAATGTATGGACATGTCGCTACATGTATGGACATGTAGCGACATGTCCATATATCTCGCTTCAGAGTGGACGAATTCTGAATACAAAGCCACCATTCGATTCAGCTCGGCGCGGAGAATCTCCTGATATATTGGAAGTGGGGGTACGATGTCTTCGATATTCCGTTTCCAGTTTTTTCAATTTGTTCTGCGGAGGTCTTTTCGCGAATATGTGAAGCAACACCTACACAACATAGAAGACTTGTTTTACACTCGTTTTACCAGGAACGGTTACGCATATTTAATTATTCAGAGGCAAATTGTGGAGAGATATGATACGATAGACCAAGTCTTACTGCAAAAAAGTAAACAAAAACTTGAAAATTGCTTCTGGATTGCCTGTGGACACGTCTGTTCGTCTCTGCACATTTTGAAAAAATTTTCTCGTTCCGGAATTTGCCTTTCGCAGCAGGATTGAGCTGCTTAGCCACCATTCTCAATTCGGGTGGACGGTGCCTTTATTACATTTTTCCCTATACAAATAAGAATGCTCCATGGTTGTTTGGTGATGCAAAAAAATGCATTTTCATCCTGATTTCACATATAAAAACGTAACAACAACACGCAACACAACAACACTAACAACTGCGCACCATTCCTCTCCTCTAAAATTGACCACCCTAAGCACAACAAAAATTTTCGCAACCATAGGATTCTCCGCTATGCTGTTTTACTTAGGAGAATTCTGCGCGTCCACCTTTCCGCGAGGCACACTGATGCAGCTGAGCTATTAAACCACTTGAGATTGCAGTACATTAATCAATTGCTTTGAGCAGAGCGCTGTACATATTTACATTGTTTGCCTTGGCTGTTGAAAAACTTGGTATTGATATTTCACACTGCTAAGTTTAGCAAGTTCTCCTTACAGATGTGAGGAAGGTTTATATGGTTGGGGTTTCAGCTGCACACTCACCTAACAGTATCTTTACAAGGAAATGGTCAGAAGTCGAAGAGGCCAATCCAAACAGGCTGTATACCTTTCGATGCAGTATGAAACGCTGATTTCGAATCTGTCTTCCTTATCTGCTTATCGCTTCTGTGGACGGAGCTACAAGCAGTTTTATTGTGGAAAAATCGTGCATAAAAACTGTAAAATTAAGCACATTGTTGCAATTTCACCTCAGGTTTGAAGTAAATTAGCTGCATGTTTTGGCCCAGCATCAAGCCGAACGTGACTTTGTACGGTCAAATATTCACTCTCACGCATAATTTCTTAGCAAAATATTGGTATTTAATGGCTTATAGCTTCGTCCAGAAAAGCGATAAGCAGATAAAGAAGACAGATTTAGAGTTAGTGCTTCATGCTGCATCTAACGGTATGCAGCTTGTCTGGATTAGCCACTTCGATATCTGACCATTCCCTTGTTAGATGAGCAGAGAATCTTCAAAACTCTCTTCTCTGCTGCATATGCAACCTGACTCTGAATAGATCGTGAATGAGCTATAAACTTGCTATGACGGGAATGTAAGCACAAAATATTCAAGTATCAGAGTCCCTTTTGAGCTCTTAACAGAGAGTTATTGAAATTTACCATTGATTACGACAACATAACAGCCTTCTTCGAAATTCACGTAACTTCTAACAAATACAGAAACTCGCGAAAAGTGGTCACAATGGCGACTGATTGACGGCACAAACATGTTCATTGTAATTCCGAAATAACTGCTAAACTGTCATAATTCTCATGTCCGCCCATGCTCCAGCGAGAGTATGACCTTTCATTGTTGGTTTTGTGCCAGAACAATTAGTGGACATTCATATGGTGCGCAATTCGGATAAAAAGCGTAAAGTTTCGAAATTCAATGCCAGAAATGAGACATCTGTGGTTAATCTTCTTTGTAAGTTGCTTGTATGCTTTTGTGTAGAGACAAGATGGTATTTTTAGGCAGTCGTGCTTTTCCATACCTCAGGACTAAAAAATAGCAAAATAGACGACATGAGATTCTCTTGGCTGTTTGCGAGAGTAACAAGTTGGTGGTTCTTACGCTCTGCAAAGGCAGTGGTCAGTTTTATTCACTTGTTCTGATAGTGGTTTATGCAGCAGAATAGGCGCCATAAATCGCTTATTTTCAAGAAAACTGAAAAAATAACTTATTGACTCGAAACTATCTATCTCCTTCCAGATAGCCCTACCGGATTTTGCGTTAACTTCAAGAGAATTGCTCAACTGCTTCAAAGACACAGGTTTCAAAGTTAGTTTAACATTTTCTATTTTTGATAATTGCTTGAAGACTTGCCACCTGAAGGTCTCGTAAATAAGTCAGAATTGGGACTCCCACTTCATATAATTACTCCTCCTAAACAGCAAGAGGATAGAACTGTATGTGTGTCAAAACGCTGAGTTTTTTCCAAACTTGAGGTCGTTACATAGGTTTTGTTACACTGAACTTTTCATCGCATTCATGCATTAATTTTATTCGGGTTTCAGAGTACCGTATAATTAAAGACTCAAAAACTGCAAGATTTAATGAGAAGCCTTACACCAGCTTTGATCCGCTCTAAGTTTGATGCGAATGCTCGGAAACTGAAAGAATTCATATTTTTGTTCAAAACTACAGGGATCTTACTAGCTTAAAGCCGTCCACCCTAAGTTGAGGGTGTTGAGCTTTTGGCCCATTCAATAGTATGGGCTCCCTATCAATCCAATGCTCAAGTCGCGGTGCAAAATGCCGTTTCAGAAGCGAGAAAATCGCTTCGGAATAGCGAAGATGTACGAGGATCCCATCCATGCCCGCCCCCTCCCATCCATGCCCCCTCACTTGTGCGCGCCCATTCGACCACCGTTCCGGAAAGCCGGCCTTGGTCCTCCGGAACGGGGATTGTAGCGCATTCTCGATTTCATATTCGTAATCAGGGTCATGAGAAGGCTCTGAAACGACAAAAACGTGGAAGCCGAAAACCTGGGTGGACGCTGCCTTTAAAGGCAGCGTGTGCCGACTTTGTCGGCACCTTCCTTGCAACTTATATCATACTTCTCCTAAGCACCATAAAGGTCATGCCATAAGCATGACCTGCTGTGATATGAGGGTATTATTGCCCAGATGTTTGTCATGTTACTTTGCCACGCCTTTTATCGGCGGCATTCTACTACTGCACTAACACGTGTTCGTCGTCTGACTCAATAAAGCTACTATAGCTAATGTGTTCTGTATAACACACATCAGGAGGCGCTAATTCGCCTCAGGCCACAAGGTCTAGGAGAATCACCGACACATGGAGTATCATCGTACGATGATTCCCCCAATTACCGTATCGAGGGACCACCCGCTGAGTGGGCGGGCCTTACCACCCTTTCGTATCTCGGAGGCTTTGACCTCACTCTCCTTACGAGCTTACCGTGAACGGTTCGCTCGCACAACCTTGTACTTGTCCAAATAAATCTGAACCACCAATTCTACTCTTCCTACACAGTTATTCTATTAGTCCGAGGCCAACATCCCTCGAAGAGTCTTAAACCCGCTAACACAGCGTCCAGGCAGATCTGGTCCTATGGGGTTTTTAGGAAAAAGGTACTTTTGGGGCCCTAACTAAGGCACTGCCCAACCGGCAACTCAGGTAGTGCTCTGACGGCTGAGATATTCCCCTCAAAACTGGACCCCGCGATGGTATTCGCATGAATTCATGGCAGTTTCGCGCCAGGATCCACGCTTTGCGCCATGAACCCATGCGAAATACGTTCGCGGGGTCCAGTTTCGAGGGGAAATGTCTCAGCCGTTAGAGCACTACCTGCGCTGCCGCTTGGGCAGTGCCTTAGTTTAAGCCCCAAAAGTGCCTTCCACGTAAAATCCCCATGGGTCCAGATCTGCCTGGACGGTGCCTTTAAGTGTCGTTCCAAACTCGTATTCATGCCTTTGTTATTTTCTTCATCGGCTAAATGTCGAGAAAACTGATACAGCCACGTTTCGCCAAAGCGACGCTGTGCTGTTTCTACATAAATAATTGTATATTACAAAGTGCTCTTAAAGTGCAGCCGAAATTTTTTGGCTTTTTGCAAGCGTTACTCAAAAATTATTAAATTCAGTTTTTCTTGCCAGGTTGTTTTAAGCGAACAATTTTTTTTGTGAATTAGAGTTGCAGAGAGCTAAATTAGGGTTGTACTTTTAAAGTGTGTAGTATGTAATCATTTATGTGGAAACAGCACAGCAAAACAACGGTACTCATGAATGTCTGGTATGAATATAAGCTTACGCTAGTGAGATTTTCGTAGAATGTTATTTGGACAAACGTATTTTCGCTTTTGCAAGCCCAACTTTTTAGATTAACTTTTGAAACTCCAAAAGGATTAAAGCTGGTGCAATGTTTCATATGAGATCGTACAGTTGCTTTGCCCTAATCAATGGTGCCAAACTACTACAAAGAACAGAAAATGTATGACTCACTGCGGTAAAGCCAAAGTGTAACAAACTTTTGTAAGACTTGATATGAGTAAATTACGAGAAGGGCTTGGACATTCCTAATGTCATAATTAGTCAGCTGACATCTTCAGAAAACCATCACGAGAGTAGAAATTAAGCCACTAGCTTGGTACTCTTGGACTGTAAAAAGAAAGTTTTGCGGAACTCAGAATAGCTCAGGGTCGACACTTTGTTTTCCAGGATCCGAAACGGATTAACGTTATTCAAAAAACTCTTTACTAGCACATTCTGAGGGTGTATTATGTGTTAATCCCACGGCAATGCTGAGACTAACGCTTGCTTAGTCTCTTACATCAATAGGTTCCTGCTTCACCCGCCAGTTGAGATTAGCCCTATCTTCTTGCAGTTTGCGTAAACTGCATGATTTTGGAGTTAAAGAAGTTGAGTTATTGGTGCGCTTGTCTACAGAGGCAAAAATTTGGAAAGCATTGCAAATAAGACCACCCCTTTTAGAAGAGTTCATCTAGCCCCCTCCCCCCGCCCCGCAAAAAAATTTCTGAGATTGTCATTGGAGGGTTTTTTTGAGTGAACTTTTGGGATTTTTGAGAACGTTTGAATTTTTATAATCTCTCAAATTCCAGTATCTTTTTTGCCCGGTGAAGCGAAAGTATTTGGATCTGATAATCTATATTACCGCCATTGGAGGAGTCAAAGGTGCAGATAACACATTCGTTGGTCTCTTCTACACTAACAGGTACTTTTCCGCTAGATTTATTCATTATAAATTCAATCTAAAAATTACCAGCACGTCAAACCAAGACGAGCTCCTCAGTCTCATACTTGAGAAATACGGAGACAGAATCCTAAAAGTAAGTGGATTTTTTCAAAACACATATACTGCTACAAACACATTTCGAGGGCCAACTATTAAAATAATTATTTCAGCTTCTTTCAAATAATTTTCAGGTGAAAAAAGTTCCGTATCTACATATTGGATGCGCTGTCAAAGAAGGCAAGTACCATACAACAATAACCGTATGTATTTTCGCCAAACATAAGTCAGATAAACCCATCGACCCAAAGCTCCAAACTATAACTCTCGATAAAGAGGGTTAATCTATTACTGATAATTTCACATATAGTGTATTTAACAATTCACTCTCTTATGTATAAACCTCAATGTTTGTCTATCTGTTTTTTCTTTTTCGTATCTGGTGAATGTACATATGTAGAGTTCCCGAAACCAATTTAAACTCGTACTCGTATTGAGAATCCGTTGCCAAACGACGGTTCTGCATACCAAAAACGTATTTTTCAATGACATGGCTATAGACAAGCGACCTTATTGCTTTCACCTCCTTTTTTGTGACTAACTGTGAAAAATGAGGACAGTACACTGCTCAGGTGTTCTCTGATAAGAAAAGCATACTTTTTCATAGCATAGTCGCATTGAAGATATGAAAGTTGCACCCAATATCAACTATGCAAAATTTCGGCAAATTGTGAAACTGTGCTCTGAAACTTATCCCACTTGCAGTCTCACCATGGAAGGTACGAAAAAAATGTCGAACTACTAATAATGAGCACTCCATGAATTGATCTCCATTATAGATCTATTCCTTTCTCACATCTAAGCAGCGCTTTTTGAATTTGCCTTTGTTGAATTTTCAGAATTGATTTTCCTACTTAGTCAGGTATTAATTTCAACCATGATGATTTTTAGTTTTGAGTTTTATATGCAGCAAGTCAAAACCCTTCTCGTATTAGACATATGCATGTCATGTCGTTCGAAAGAGAAAAGCAAGGTTTATAAGAAGTATATCACATGTGCACGTCAGTTTTGCTCCATAATAACCTCATAGCAAGAATCTAGAGAGTTTCATTGCTCGAGAAACTGAGAAGAGGTATCTACGTCCAAAATCCTGTGGGCTCCACTCGTTCTCGAATATACTTGTCACATCAGACATCTGCACGTACAATGAACATTCACAGTGCAGCAAAAAATCGGGAAGCAAAAATAGGCCAAGATCAAGATAAATCAAAAGATACCGCTTTTTATGGGTTTTTCTTTAAGGCTTAATTTGATGTTTCAAGGCTACTCCGGAAGATTGAAAATTAATGGTTCTTATAAAGGTTTATAATATAGATTTATCTATGTGGGAACAACCAGCATCGCTTCAACAAAAGCTTGAATTTTCGTATCAAATCCAAGCCATCAAAAAGTACAACAACTGTGAATATGACTCTGTGATGGCGGAATATATGGTTGAGCAAGCTGGCGCTTGTAGGGCTTTACGGGATACAGTTATTTTTCCAATTTTTTGAGCATTGAAAACTTTTTAGATTTTCTAACTTGTCGTGGAGCGAATCTAACTCGTACACTATCGAAGGAATGCCATACCTATGTATATTTTATGGCTATAACTTATTTTGGCTAAAAATCAGAATTGAAAATCATCGTGATACAACCTAATATTTGTTCTCCATTGGTCTATGCCAACATTTCATCCATACGTTGCGTTTTCAGCGTGTTCTGCCATCTGTGCTACTACCAAACCAACCGAGTACCTCCAAACTTTATTGTTGAACCTCCAAGATTGTGCCGTAACTCTGAACTCAAGCGTGGAGACTTCTATGACTGCATTGATCCACCTCGAAAATATCTGACTGTTCCAGCCTTCGCAGCCGTACAAGTACCCAAATAATTTGCTTCCAGAACCCGCAGACCTCTCGATTTTTGCTACTGTCGCGAGTAAAAATCAGACATGTTCTTGCAACTGCAAAAATCGGTCCGAATCTTTCCAGTCCTTTGAAGATTGCTGCTTAAAAGGTATTTATACAAATTAAAGAATCATTACAAGTGCACCCTTTAGACTGCGCGATCGCACATAGTTAGGCGCTCAAAAATTTTTCTAACCTTTGTAACCATGTGCCAAATATTAGTGAGTTGCGAATGCGATAGTTCATTGATAATTGCATGTTTGCGATGTTTCCACACTGAGTAATTGTTAGTCCCTTTTCCGGCCAGAAGCTTTGAATTCTTAGCTGTTGGTCACAATTCTCTCGGACATCTCAGACTTACATGGATACGCAATAATTTCGACGAGTTCGTAATTTGCCTTCTATCAAATCAGCAATACAAGTAGAATAAGACTGAATTTTTGAGAAGGTGTCATTTAAACATCGCAGCATTTCTGCTACGATTATTTTATGTCAAGTTCACTGAAAAGTCTCGGAGAAAGGACCTTTGGTACATTTTAGTAGCATGGTCATCACGTGCATTATTTGAGCAACAGGGTATAGCTCCATTCAGTGGCCGTATTCATCAACGAACCCCGAGGGTTAAACTAACCCTGGAGGGTTAGTTTAACCCTGGAAAGCGTTCAACCCGTATTCATGAAACACAGGGTAGGCTTAACCCTGAGGGTTAAATCTAACCTTGAGGGTTAATTTTACCCCGAAAGCGACTAACCCGTATTCATCAACGAACCGTGAGGGTTAAACTAACCCTGGAGGGTTAAACTTATGTGATTCATCAGGGTTAATTTAACCCTAGCTCAGAGCAAGGTTAACTCTACCATAAAACTTCATACAAACATTTACTCGCATCTAATAGTTTATGGGAAACGATCAACGAGTATTGTAGTATTTAGTATTGGTTGTTGTTATAATATTTAGTTTCGACTTCGTTTTATGTTCATATTCGAAGTACATGAAACACTGACTTTGCGAGAAAAAGAATTCTAGCTTTGGTGACGAATGAATGCGACGAGGAAAAATGGTTGCGAATTCCACTCTGACAAGTGCCAAAGAAGCCCCTTTATGATAACACGCATTGACCCCTAAAAGAGTAGCACAAGCCCGGTATATAACGAACTGCGTAAAAGTAGAACTTACACTGCACAACTGCACACATGAAAATAAGCTCACGCTGTAAGATTGGATGCTGCACAAGTATGCTAGAGATGTATTATAAAAACTAGTGTTAGAAGCTTATTCGTTGACTATACTACTATAACAGTGAAAGAATAGAAGTATAATATAAAGTGAATTTAGCCCGTACTTAGGCATTCTGTGATGTGAGTTTGCACAGCGCACGCGTAACTGACGCCTTAACCCTCCAGGGTTAGTTTAACCCTCCGGGTTGATGAATACGGCCACGGGTTCGTTGATCGATACGGGTAGATCGCGTTCCGTGGTAAACCCTAGCCTATGCTTGATGAATACGGCCAATGAACCCTGAGGGTTAAACTAACCCTGGAGGTAAGCTTAACCCTCAGGGTTCGTTGATGAATACGGCCACAGGAATGAAATTTTTGCCGATTGGCTGCAGTGGAATCCATCGCAAGACCTCAGAATATCTCCAGAAAGAGCACCAAACATTGCCTTTGCGAATACGCGAATGACTAGGTCCAGAAATAGGGATGAGAACAGAGGAGAACAAATAAATTTATCCATTTAGCCCCTCTCCAACGCTTTTCACGCGTGCCCAGGATTTCTTCGGTTAGCAATGTAAGTGGAACGAAATATCATGTAACCATTTGGGGTTTACAACTGTTTTTTCTTGGCAAATATTACGCTTACAGCAGCTTTTCCCGCGCGAGTCAGGAGGAGTTCTTCGCGTATAGCGCAGCGATGACCATCTACTCTATTTCAATAACTCGACATGCCTCTACAATGCCAAAATATCTCTGAAATATGATAAAAATATGGCAGCGAAAGCAATGACTGTGGACTCATAGTCAGTAGACCCATCTTCTGCGGATGCCGTCATGAAAGCATCAAACTCGGGACACTCCAGATTTAGTGATTTTTACAAAGCTCAAAGGCACCGTCCAACCAAAATGGGGTCGATGAGATTTTGAGGACTAATAGTTGTCTCCCAACCGTATATTTGCCCAACTCTCACTCCCAAAAGTTGTTGCCGAAGCAAGAAAATTCCTTCTTAAACCACTCAGATGACGTATTCGCCACGTTGGCTGCTTCCCTTTAAGTGGGCGTGACGTTCGTCCCACCCATCCATGCGCACCCAGCCAATCACCGTTCCGGAAAACTCGCCGTGCAAGTGCTGGAAACTGGGATTTTCGGGGTTTTGCGGATTCTCGACTTGATAATCAGAATCAGGGATACGAAAAGGCCCCGGAACAAAAACAGAGTCGAGAATTTGGATGGACGGTGCCTTCAAGAGCTGCATTCCCACAAAAATTGAGAAGATAGGCAAATAATTGATTCTTACAATTTAGTGCTGAATGTCGCACTTGAGAGCAACTACCTCAGCAATACTCCTAGTTTCACAATAGCTTATTAGAAATCTGTAAGCTTTTATGTCGCCTCAACATCTTCAATCTTAAATGATTTGTGTGAGTTGCCCTATTAATATTTCAGTGCGTAATGCATGCATATTTTCTAAGAGAACAAACAGACAATCCATTTACATGGGCAGATACATTCATCAAAATGTCACACTCGTCTATTACATACATATACAAAATGAGACAATATCATCAAAAATGTTACGGATTTCTGAGCATCAATACTGTATTATCCTAAAGTAAGTGGTCAGTACTGGTCAATATGACCAGCACCACAGGTAGTTCCTTCCGATCACCTCATTTTGGTCATAACTATCGTTGCAGCACTTGTTTTTCTATTTGTTTGTTTGGAATGTGGCCTTCTGAACTGATAAATTGGTAGACAAGAGGAACGAAGTTTTTTTTCTTACCTTGGATCGTCAGTAGATCAGCGGTTATTCCTGCGCGAAACTGACTGGCGCAACGGCATAAGTGATACGCGAAGGAAAGCCGAGATATGCACGTGGGATCGGCAAGTGTTCTATGTCTGAAAAAAGTACTAGCTGGCTTACCCGGATCCGCCCGGCCCTGTCAATGCTATGATTAAGGTTTTATCCCTATCCTTGCAGAACCTTTCATTGTGCCCACTTCCACATGCAAATCCCTATTCCCGCTGTGACAGTAATTAGCATGCCCACCTACCTCCCTCAACAACCTCCAGTCCCGTAGCTCAAACTTTGCAAAAAAAACAATAAAATCGATAAAAGTAAGGGTAATTCTAAAAACTGATGCGTTATGCGGCTATCCGGATCCAAAATGTTCTTATGATGAATCTTGCTCAAAGGCGGTACATGGGTATTGTAACGCTGATGACGAATATCGTAGTCATTTCGCGCGGTATAGCGCCATTTCCTGGGTTTAAGTTGGGTGCACATAAAAAGCTAAAATCATGGATTTCGCTGAAACTTTGAGGGGGGCTAATTGACATGCTGATTACGAATATCATACTCCTTCGGCATTTTGAGGCGATTTCACTAATATAGTAGGTATAACTGCAGAGGGGCGAAATCTCAGTTTTGGCTGAAACTCGGTCTAAAGAGATTCGACCTTTTGACCACGTTTAAAACACTCTCGTTGCGTTTTGAGACCTTTTCGCAGAGTTACGATAGGTACATGGCAGCGAGTAAAAATCATGAACCTGCCTAAAATCTTGGCAGAAAATTACCTAGTGCTGTTTTAAGAATATCGTGCTCAATGCCCATGATAAAGGCAATTCGTGTGGTATAAAAGTTTCTCACGACCGTAATGCTTTCCCTTATAGGACCACCCGAGACACCCTTCAGAGGCTTTTGCCTAAGCAAGAACAGGGGAGGGAGATTTGCCGCGTGCGTTACGCGTTGGGACAGGTTATCAGGATGACGCTGGAGACCGCCATGCAAAATGACCGTTTCCCCATCTCTTGAATATCCGGGATCTAAATTGGCCCGAAAGCGAAAAAATTTTCATTCAAACCCTGCAACTCATCATAACTTCACTATTGCGTTATGACAGCGAGCAAGCATCATATTCATAAGCGATATACTTGTGAACCGTTACAGGTAAGGTTTTGAGCAAATCTGGAACTTCGACCCATCTACACCTACCGTAACCCAAGAAAATGCACTATCCTGCGAAATCAGCATGATATTCATGTTCAGCACGTTAAATGACCACACTAGACGAATAAAGCAAATCTATGTTTTCGACCCCATGCCATATAACCACCACAACTCTATGAAAAGGTCCCAAAATGCAGAGAGATGATATTCGTACTTAGCATGTCGAATAAGCCATATGGACCGAACTCCAGCCGAATCATGATTTTGACTTCTTACCGTACACCTATCGTAACCACACGGGAAGATGTTCTGCGGAGAAAGTGTGATATCTGTAATCAGCTAAAGGGCCGGGCATACTTCACGCGATTTCAGTCGCGACGCGATTTGGCAATTCGCCAGAAGTCTTCGGATCCAACATTAGCAAACTGCACATGCATAGTGTGTATAACTTACGTAAATTGATGAAATGTCCTATCTTCTGTACATTTATAATGTACTTACAACGAGTTATGGACACCTGGAATATTGCCAAATCGCGTCGCGATTGAAATCGCTTGAGGTATGCCCGGCCCTTAAGATAACCCTTATACACGAAGTTTGAGCAAGCTCTACCACAAAAAAATTTTGGGACTCGGATAGCCGAATAGCGCCAAACTAATATCGAACTCGTAAACAACATACTCGATTACCCCACTGTGCCAACTCCCAGCCCAGTAGCTCAAACTTTGCAAAAAATCGATAAAATCGATAAATGTAATCGATAATCTTGAAAACTAACAATGTATTCGGAATCCCCATGCTCGATTACCCCCCTGTGCCAACTCCCAGCCCCGTAGGTAAACTCTGCAAATCGATAAAAATCGATGAAATCGATATCGATCGACGACGAAAAGTAGGCTATGACACCCGCCGGGGCCCGAAGTGTATGTGTGCCAAGTTTGGTCCGGATCGGTTCAGAAATGGAATTTTCTATTCGGAACATACGCACACACATACAGACATACAGAGAAACAGACATTCAGCTTTATACAGGGTGTCCCAAAAAGATGTGAACACTGTTTGATCGTTAATAACTCCCTTGCTTTCATGTCTTTCGCCGAGCTTGAGACACCATTCTTTAGAGCGAGGTTCAACTTAGATTTGTAGTATGGAGCGAATCATCGAATGCTTCTCATTACTCTAGGATTGCGGTAGGAAGTTTGACAAGGATTTTAGGCCATTAGAGGCCATATTCTGCCTCGGAACAAAACCAAACAAGCCAAAAGCTCTTATGCTATGGTAATGGAAGCAGCTGATTTCGAATATGAAATTTCCACTGTACTGTGACGCTTCTTTCCGAAGTTATCCCAGGAACCGTAATAATGGAATTCCCAGCATTTGTCAAATGTGATTACCCCGCCAAAAAAGCTAAAAACTTTCTTAAAAAGTTGTGTAGTGGATTCAGCGTGCGCGAAAACCCTAGTACACGGTTTTTCAGATTTTTTGGAAAAAATTTTATCAAATGGCATATTTCACAATGGATTCACACGCTGGAAGTTCCTACAGTAATCCTACAGTAATGAAAAGCAATAGATGATTCGCTGCATACTACATACTACAAATCTGTTGAACCTCGGTCTACGAAATGGTGCGTAAAGCTCGGCGAAAGACGTAAAAGCAACGGAGTTATTAACGATCAAACAGTGTTCACATTTTTTTGGGACACTCTGTATATATATTTATACCAGCGCTTCACCTCTGCTTCGCAGAGGCTCGCACTGGCTCCTCTATCTATATGCATTCCTCTTGCTCGCATGATGTCACTTTGAAACTCACTATGCGATGCTGACCACCATGAACGAATTGTAAACAACTACTCATTTTATGAGCTTTTCCATGTAGGAGCGGTAAATTGGGAAAAGAAAGTTTCTGCGTAGGAGATCGAAAGAGAATGTCGGCCAGTCACTGAAGTTATTATTGGCGATTAGCTTTTACAAAAGATAGTTACTTTTGCCCCCTATTTCTGAGCAGAAATCTGCGCAAAAAATTAGATGAAACCTTGACAAATTGATGATCTACGCAGACACTTCTTTTTGGCGCTGATTTTGCGTAAAAATAGATATTTTACTCACTTTCTGGACTTAAGCCTATGGTCTGCACATTTACTTGTTAAGCAAATCCACAACTTCGCCAAAAGTACAATCATCGACCCACATTGGTCGGTCAAAAGTCGCGTGGACCCGTTTGACGCCCAGTTTCTGAAGGTTCCAATTATCGGATCGGCCTGTGCTTTTGCAATCTTTACCTACATGCTGGTAGGGTGCCATGACCAAAATTTCAGCTCAAGTCCTTGACTACAACACGCTCTATGAATTTCGTGACAGACAGATATACACACACAGACAGACAAACAGACAGACGCTTAGCGCTTTATTGTTAAGTAATGATAAGATAAATATATAATATATATATAATATATATATATCTTTATATGTAAGATAAATGTGGCCAGTTTTCTGTGGCAAAAGTCTGCTCATCATTTTCAATGTATGATATTTAAGAACTCTCTGAGAGTCGATGCTAATAACGTTGGAAAGTTCATCATTTAAAAAAAGGTTAGAAATTCCAAGAAAAACCTGGAATGATATCCACGAAAGTCCCCGCGAAATGGACTTTTCGTGCGAATAAAATGGACTTAGTCCATGCGATGCGATAAGATATCGCATTCGCGAATCCATTCATTCTATACAAAAATGCTTAAGGCTTTGGCCATACTTCGCCCGTGTTGCCGATGTTTCCAGTGTTGCCAGTGTTGAAAGTGTTGTCGGCGTTGAAAGTGTTGAAAGTGTTGAAAGTGTTACCGGTGTTGAAAGTGTTGCCAGTGTTGAAAGTGTTGCCGGTGTTGGAAGTGTTGAATGGAGATCATCAGTTTAGCAGTTTCATTCTTTCTCGAACGATCTCACCGGCTGGTGAATACGTTGGAAATGGAATTGGGGAATGAGAAATGAAACTGAAATGAGATGGGGAATGTTTTCGCATGCAAAAGATCCTCAAACAAACTTTTTGAAAAGTGGACGGCTTGTCTGGAATAGGCAATCTCCAATATTTGAAAAAGCTGACGTCTGAGTAGTAATGTGTTTTAGCGAATCCTGCATCGCTTGCGATTAGTGAGTAAAGGACCTAAGTGAGGTCTGCAGCGTTTTCAAATATTAGAGATTGCCTATTCCAGACAAGCCGTCCACTTTTCAAAAAGTTTGTTTGAGGTTCTTTTGCATGCGAAAACATTCCCCATCTCATTTCAGTTTCATTTCTCATTCCTCAATTCCATTTCCAACGTATTCACCAGCCGGTGAGATCGTTCGAGAAAGAATGAAACTGCTAGACTGATGATCTCCATTCAACACTTCCAACACCGGCAATACTTTCAACACTTTCAACACTGGCAACACTTTTAACACCGGTAACACTTTCAACACTTTCAACACTTTCAACACTTTCAACACCGACAACACTTTCAACACTGGCAACACTGGAAACATCGGCAACACGGGCGAAGTATGGCCAAAGCCTTAAAATGCCAGTTATTATCGATGACTACGCATCTAAATTACTTCCTAAACTAAAATACATGTAAAATCCGGGCCTTCGCTTTTCAAGACTTCTATGAATCTGCATTGAATCAAAGTCGTAAGTAGAGCTTTCTGCAGAAAGCAAACTTTGGCTGGATTGCGCTGCAATTTGTGAATCAAAATGCTTATCTTATAAGAAACCTTCTACTACACTACAACCCAAAGGGTTTTTTTTGAATTGGAAAACTACGAATTTGCAAAAGATGACCTTGCAAATGCACTATTTTAGCTCTTCTTTGTCTTTCAGCACTAATGTTTATATCTCTAAATAATCAAATTTACGGACTATCGCTAAAGAAATTTTTCATAATTTTTCTTCCTAGCTAGCGGCACTTCATTAA